TTCTTCTGAATCCACTTAGGCGGACTTACTGGTCGAAGTCCGCCTCCTCCCTGTTTTTTGTTTCGTCCAGAGCCATGTTATCTTTTCCATCATGCCCTTCCCCCTGTTTCTCCCACAGCCCCCGTCTCTTCTGTTCCCCCGCTGTTTCCTCCTTGCCCTCATCCCCAATTCCTTTTGTTATACTCTTCTCAGAATCTGCAGCTGAATCTCTTCTTCCACCTCCCACCTTGTCCTCAGACCTAGTACCCTCTCCATACCTCTGATCTCTGCCAGAGCTCGATGAACCCTCCAGTAACCATTGATTTTCCCCTGTAGGACTCATCTTCCCCCCACTACCAGCTTTAAGCTGGACTCCGTATTTCTTCTCCAGAACCAGACCTTCTTCATAGATTAAGTGGCCGAATTTATCTGAATGTCCAATTAACCAGCAGATAAAGCAGAAATTGGGTAACTTTTCATATCTGAAATCTACCCAATAACTCTTCCCATCTTTCTTCAGGTTGGTACCTTTTTTCAGTGTCTTTTCCACATTCATACAAACTCTAATTCTCATATAGGCCTCCCACTTGTCATTATTTTGATTATCATCATATTTTATGAATTTTCCTATAAAATTTCCGACCTTTCTGGCAGTACCCAAATTAACAAGACTATAAGGAACATTGTGGATTTGAACTCAAAAATCTGCCTCATTCAACACAATTTTATGTGGGATATCATCAGGTCTAACTTCTTTTAATAACAACAGATTTCGTTCAAATTACCAAGGTCCTCCCTCAAGAACACGAATCATATCCACTCGATGATAGAAAGTGAACAAATACTTTTTTTCCCGACTTCTTTGACCGATAGACCTTTGCCGGCCCTCCATAGCGAAGCCATAAGCTCTTTGATAGCTGGAAATCTGACTTTGCGATCTGTCAGCATGACTCCTATCACCGAAAAGCCCGACCTCTGTACTTCTACCGGCGGCTCCTCAAACTCCGTATCATCCAGATCCAAATCCTCCTCCTCTTCCTCAAGCGCCATTTTTCTATACTTGTCAACAACACCCTCCATGCACCGTCCTTCCGCCTAAGCTTCCTCTCGGGATTTCGCTGGTCGCTCTCCCCCCTAACTGGTTTGTGAAAAGCTCGTCGGAGATCTGTGGAGATCCGTGGCTTCGTATCTTCTCCGTCAAGAGCTCCAGAGAAAATCATCAGACGCGGACACAAACGAAGCTTCACAGTAACTCGTAGATAAAAGTCCCGCTCTCCAACCGGCTTACCAGCAGCGGCTGATAGCACCGGCGGCGGACGTCGAAACGCTAGGTGTTACCGTGCGGTAACCCTAGAGAGAGAAAAAACTACATTAAGGTCGGAACGTTGAAAAACATTTTTTTAATTTCTTTCTAAACATTCCCTAAATGTCTTATTGGTACGGATCTTTTGTTATGGATTCTAGAATGTACTTCCTAGTTCTAGTTTTTAGACATTTTGTCCGCTACGTGTATTTTTATTTTTGAACTTTACATCTCACGAGAAAGTATACGTCATCAAACACGAGAAAACCGCCTCAGGACGGGTTTCTTGCAAGAGGGGTCGAAAATTTTCGATGAAACCAAGACTACCATCTCTGACGTCTCTCTTTATAAACCCTATACCCATGCCTTTCTCTGCATCATTCACTAATTCTACACTTCGATTTTCTTCTGCCATTTCCAAAAACTCTTTCTTTATCGCTCGTCTTCTTTAACAACCCGCCAGCCATGTCCTGCTACATCGGGAAATATGCCGGTACACCCCCACTCCAGTTTCATTGCTCTCTTTGATTTGATCAATTTCAAATCTCTGGTCAATGGTTTTGGGTTGTGTCTGTTTTCCAAGTTCTCTAAATTTGATTCTTGAAAATCAACCATTTTTATTACTATGGTCAGGTGTTGTTTTGTTTTTGTAACTTGTAATTGAGCTCTGGTTTCTTCTACATTATCTCTGTTATTAGCCCTGATGTTGCAAAGACTACTCCAAAAGAAATAAATATCAAATTATCAATAGAAGTTCTTATCTTGCTGGAATATAAACCTTTGATTTGTGTTAGTTGCTGTTTAGGTACAAGGTCTGATCTTGTCCAATTTAAAATAAACAGATCAGACTACTTTTACTGAATCTGTTCAGTACTTCCCCACTTCCCCCCTCATACAAAGATTCATACAAAGTATTATATATCAAACGGTTAAATTTATCTGAATCACATGTCAAAATATCAATTTTTTACTTATTTTTCTGATTGGGAATTAACATATTAAGATAAAAATGTACTCCGTAAAATAACTTGGAAGTTAAATGGGTGCCATTACAGGAGAACAGATGAAGTATGTGTTTACGTGTTTAGACCAGAAATCATTTAGATACTGATTTCTTGTTTGTACCAAACGCCCTTAGCACATTGCAATTAGAAATTGTAATTCTTAAAATGAGATCAGAGATGAGCGTGCCCTTAGCATAATTAATTATCTTCTTGGAATTAATGCTTTAAAGTTAATTAAAGAAGTGCATTTTCACATCATATCATTGGTTTTGAAAAGTTTCTCGACTGTTAATGTTTTAAATACTACTTATAACTTTTGCAGAAGAACTCACAGCTAACGCTGCATATATTGGTACCCCCGGAAAGGGCATCCTTGCTGCAGATGAGTCCACCGGCACGATAGGCAAGCGTCTTGCAAGCATCAATGTTGAGAATGTTGAGGAAAACAGGAGGGCTCTTCGCGAGTTGCTTTTCACAACTCCAGGTGCTCTTCAGTACCTGAGTGGGGTTATCTTGTATGAGGAAACCCTTTACCAGAAGACCTCATCTGGTATGTGTTTGGCACTAAATGCCATAATTTGTATTCCCATCCGAATGTGGTATTATATACTATCTATTTACTCGTTCTTTCATTCATTCATTTATTCACTTTTTTTGAACAAATTTATTTATTCACTTATTATTTATTTTATTTATTTATTTATTTACTTATCATACTTTCTTTTCTTTTTTTCCATCATTTGCAATGGAGCCAAAGATTCATTATTTTTTGGCCTGAGATTATGATGGAATAAAGCAAAATGGCTCACTAAACTGTCTGCGCTTCTTTGTTATGGAACAGTAGTCAGTCCATGCAATTTTGGACGCGATTTTCACTATGGGTCATCCGGAAACAGTCTCTCTGTGCTTTAGTACAGAGGTAAGACTGCGTACATCCGACCCCCCCTTACCCCACCGTAGGTGGGAACCTTTGCGGCACTGGGGTAAATGAAAATGAAAATGAAAATGACTTTCTTTTCTTTTAATGACATTTTCTCGTTTTACCTTTTTATAAAGCACGTTTTCTTAAGATTTATTAATCACTGCTTATTATATTTTGAGATTTTCCAATAATGTTATTAGAATAAAATGCATGTACAAAGTATCACCACCAAGACAGTCAATACTAATCACAGCTGTGTGGCTGACATTATTTCATTTCTCAGGTAAGCCCTTTGTTGAGCTGCTGAAGGAGGGTGGAGTCCTTCCAGGGATCAAGGTTGACAAGGGTACAATTGAGCTTGCCGGAACCAATGGGGAGACCACTACACAGGGTCTTGATGGGTTGGCGGAACGGTGCAAGAAGTATTATGAGGCTGGTGCTAGGTTCTCTAAATGGAGAGCAGTCCTAAAGATCGGCCCCAATGAGCCATCTCAACTTGCTATAAATGAGAATGCCAACGGGCTTGCCCGTTACGCAATCATCTGCCAGCAGAATGGGCTTGTACCCATTGTTGAGCCTGAGATCCTTGTCGATGGGCCTCATGACATCAAGAAATGTGCTGACGTGACGGAACGCGTCCTAGCTGCTTGCTACAAGGCCCTGAATGACCACCATGTCCTGCTTGAAGGCACCTTGTTGAAGCCAAACATGGTCACGCCTGGATCGGATTCTGCAAAGGTAGCACCAGTGGTGGTTGCTGAGTACACCGTCCGTGCCTTGCTGCGAACCATGCCGGCTGCAGTCCCTGCAGTGGTGTTCTTGTCTGGTGGCCAGAGCGAGGAGGAGGCTACTGTCAACCTTAATGCCATGAACAAGCTGAAGAAGACCAAGAAGCCATGGAGCCTTTCCTTCTCGTTCGGGCGTGCTCTTCAGCAAAGCACACTCAAGGCTTGGGCAGGAAAGGAGGAGAATGTCAAAAAGGCTCAGGAAGCTTTCCTTGCAAGGTGCAAAGCCAATTCCGAGGCAACCCTGGGAATGTATTCCGGCTCGGCAAACCTTGGCGACGGTGCCTCCGAGAGCCTCCATGTTAAGGATTACAAGTACTAAGGATATTTTGGTTTGTGTGTGGCTTGTGTTTTGGCCGTTTTGGTTCTTTTTGCAGTGTTCTTATGTTGACTTTTGATATTCTCTTTCGGTAATAAGAGTTAAAAAAATCCTGTTTCGAGATCTGTCCATATCTGATTAAATCCCGAACACAGAAGTTGCACGAAAAAATAGTCTGCAAACAAATTGTGACAATTGATTAACACCGCAAAAGATCATCTTTCTTGATTTATATAACGATCAATACGATAGCGGATGGATTGATGGCTCAAATCTTATACATATCTTTGAACTTTGTTCTTTTTATCTTATGCTTCTTTTCCTTCGGATCGTCATACTTATTTTTTAGCCTTTTCTTCAAGTCACTTCTCCATTCCTCATACATGTTTTAATTCAATCCATATTTTAAGATCTGTGAGATATAATTTTGGATGTATAGTGCATATGTGAAGATGCAGCCGAAAGAAAAAGAAAGACGAACTTAACTATAATAACAATGTGTTAAAATGAAGCTGAGTGCTATGGTACATGACAAATAAATGAGTATCATACCTACAATATATTTGGTTAGTTATATTTAATACTATCTCCGTCCTAATTTGATAATCCCAGTTTCTATTCATTTGGTCAACATAAACCACTTTTAATCTTTTACTACTCTTAAAAAAATACATGAAAAGTAGACAAATAATTAAGAACTTCCTATATTTCTTGTCTCCATACTGAGTTAGGTGACATTGTGACAAGTTGTCACAAACTACTTTTCTTGTCTCTTTGATAGATTTAGTGCTTGTGTTTCATACGTATGCATGCAAAATAATTGTTGCAGCGACATTCTTTTTTAACAAATTGATATAACAGTCTATACTCTACACACTCAAAAGAATGAAAAGATATTCAGTTGTCTTTTTTGCTATACGCACAAATGAACCTTCTTCAACACAACTGAAACGAGTCATGCAAATTAGATAACCGAGGTACAACTTTCTCCGGCTCGTGTAGCCTATTGTTCTTGAATGCTACAATCTTTCCTTGACAACAACTGTAGTGAGTTCCTTGCTGTTCCACACCAGCACCAGTGTTTCTAAATGCACCGGGTTCATTCGACCTTTGTAGTTCATGAGGTCTAGACCACACTTTTTCCGCTTGCATCTTGCGATTTTCACAGTACTTAACGGATACCTGTCAGTGAACTGTACATGGATGTCAGCAGAATTCATGAAGAAGTACACTGCCATAATCGCTTTTACCAATTATAGATAAATTGCTAGCTTTTACGAGGACAGTATAGTATATATAGCATAGATGCAAGCACGAATCCATACTTGTAGTAGTACCTATAAAAAGATGTGGGACAGTGGGAGAACCAAGGCTGTCTTTTAGACAAAATGAGGGCCCCAGGCGGCCTTCAGTTCAGTCCTTTAAATATTGTCATTACTATGGTTGGGGTGAGGGAAATCAAGTGCCTCAGTTCAGATTGAATTGATCTCTTTTGTTTAATAAAAATAATCTTTTTCTTATTTACTTTGTTCTATCCTATCTGAATTCACACACTCTACTAGACACCATTTTTATCAAGCACTATAAAGGGGTAGGTAGGGAAGCTCAAATTTGCCTAAGTTATTGTTAGAACCCCACATCACAAAATTAAAGAGAATATTCGAGCTTATAGTGCTGTTTGGCCCAAGTTCTAATAGGCCAGTTCAGTGACCCCCAATCCAATTATAAATGCTATCACATAGTTACATGTCATTTTAGCAGAGGATGGGAATGGTTGCATAACACGTTCAGGCGATAATGCTCCAAGTGATGCAAGAATGGTAAAACAGAACAATGTTGCATCCTCTTACATTTGGGATGTCAAAGTCATGATCCACGGCATCACAAACATCAAGTGATATCCTTCGAAGCAGTGGCATCTGATCCAAAATAATATTTAGTGCTTAACATACTATAGATCTAAGCTCTCGTAGTAGGCGGGTCAGAATATGGTCAAAGCATCAAACCATTGAAATAATTTGTTACCTTTGACGCAACTTGAGAAATAAAATCCCTCTGCATTCCAGTACCCTGCAATTAGGAAGTCAGGATATTTAGCATGCAATAGAATGGGATTAAAAAATTAACCATAAACGTAAATAAATGTCATTCTATCTGTCACATTTTACGGTTTTACCTATCTTATTTATGCCTCCATCCTTATTCAAATAGTCACTTTAATAGAGGTTTCACTGGTTTTAGGATTCAACTGTAGCAGTATTGAATAGTTTTGAAATAGTTAAAACACATGAAAGGGGAGATGAAAAGGTAGATAAGTAGGAGGGAGAAGATAAAAAGCAAGGGAAAATGTGTCATTTGATAAGATCATATTTTTCAGAAAGAAAAATTATCAGATGAAGTCGTACAAAAAACAAAATGAAAGAAGAACAAGGATTAGAAGACTTACATTATGCCGTAAGAAGAGATCTTCAAGGGCATGACATTCCAAAAGTGATGTGACACCACAAATTGTCACTTCACCACACTCCTTAAATAATCCATAAGATTGAACATCAATGGAGATGATCCAAATATTTCACATAGAAGTTTAAAGATAACTGAAATTGCCAGTCACCGGAAATAGCCTATGTATGATAAATCAATTATAGAACTGGCACCAATGCAACTTTTTGAGGAGCAACAATCATTTATCGACCAGACTACTAAAAAAACTAACTTCTAACACATGACTCAAGTTCAATATAAACCCCCAAGCTTCAGTGCAAGTTCAATAGTATGCAGAGATCATATATTACAAACGCCAGAGAGAAAATATTCATAGTTCAAATTTTCAATCAGACAACTGTTGAGTTACATTTCAATTTTCAAAGATAAAGGCTTTTCTTTGTAGTCCTCTATTTTTTTTTGTAAATTTCCTAATAGCGTAATAGTGAAGGTTACTGGATTACTACACCTAAATCCTAGTTGAAAGCCCTTTATGTTCACTGTGGGATGCTATAGCATTAAAATCCCCACAAACCAACCATGGATCAGAATTAGAAGCAGCCCAACTAGCAATAAAAGACCAAAGCATCCTTCTTTCAGTATAAGTGTGAGCCCCATAAATAGAAGTAAACTAGAAACAAAAATTCTCAACTATAATCTTCATGTGAATAAATTGACTCCCAAATGAGAAATAAGAAATCCCTATTGACATAGAATCCCAGAACAGCCAGATATTATTAATATGGCAATAGAAATAACTGTCCAGACCAAGGTCCGTAGAGAAGGTTGAATTTTTTAGGCGATTCTCCCTCAAATGGCCAGTATATCCTGTAAGGACTAAGGAGATCCTATCACCTATGACATTATTGTTGACATGTTGAGGCAAGTTAACCATTTAGCCCTCTTTTTAGCATTTGCATCTAGTTAAATTGAGTAGACCAAGGGTTTTCATCTGTCCACATGAATGCAATCATGCAGATGTACTCATTTGTTTTCATCTAGTTAAATGACAAACCTCTAGATGGACTGCTCTCAATCCAGGCCAACCAAGTGAAATAATATTTTGGGACTCTGCAAAGAAAATAAGAGTAAATGTTAAAATATGCATATGTACTTTTGTATTGATCAGCACTTTTGTCAGTATTATATATTGGACAAGGTACGAGTAAGTAAATTATTCACTCTAATAGCTGGAATTATCTAAGATGATTATATGAGAAAACATTGCAAGCAGCATTTCTTCATGAGTCCAACCAACTCAATTTTTTTAAAGGTAACAATCACAAACCTGAATTAAGAAGTGAGCAACCCACCAAGGAAAGTTCAATCAAATTTATACAATTCTCAGTGAGAATGAGCAGATCTTCATTGGTCATCCTGGGAGTAACTCTTTCCAGTTTCAATTTTCTCAAATTTGGCATGCTGAATTTAAAGCTTGAAGATGAAATCTCACCAATGCAATAGCAAAGAGCCAAAACTTGCAAGTTTTCCAAAGACTTTGCAATATTTAGTATGACAGAGTTAGATATTACCTGTTAGAATCAGTAACAATGAAACATACTTCAAAGCTGAAGTTAAAGCATACAAGCATAAACAGATGTATCTAGCTGCCACATAACTTCTTCTAAGCACGACTGGCTATTTACAGTAAGCGCATATTACTTATACATGCCATGTAATCATTGCCTACAAAGCCACAAAGATCAAGATCATAATAATACAACAACATCCAAGCCTTAGTCCCAAAAGATTTTGGGGTGGGTTAACATGAAATATACATGATATCGGAATCAAAAGGAAATATAAGATAAGAAAAGAAAATAAGCTATGATTTAAAATAAAAAAGAGAGAGAAAAGAGTAGAGAGACAGAAAGAAGAGAGAGAAGACAGTGAGAAAGAGAATATAAAAAGAGATAAGATATACATAAAAATGATAGAATAAAAAGGATACAAAGAATACATATATATAAAGATAAGAATAAATATTATTGTTGTGGTACATTTGATGGGGGTGGGGTGATAGGATTCTACTACCTAGAAAGGGGGTATGTAATGTGTAATTTATGACAGAGCTACACCTCGTCCTAAACAAAAGGACAGCTGAAATTAAACACCAACCTACTTCCATATCCTTTAACTCTTTAAGTTATCATTTGAAAGGGTGTCTAGATAAGAAATATAGTAAGGAATATCATGTAAGGGGGGGGGGGGGGGGGGGGGGTATATGTGTAATTTATGACAGAGCTAAACCTCTCCCTAAACAAAAGGATAGGCTTGACAGCTGAAATTAAACACCAACCTACTTCCACAGCCTGCAGCTCTTTACGTTATCATTTGAAAGAGTGTCTTGATAAGAAATACAGTAAGGACTGTCATCTAAGCATTTTTTACAAATTAAAACTATTTAGAAGTCAGGAAGGTCATACTGGAAATTAATCCACTAAGATGAGAATGAAAAGTAAGAAAGAGAAGAAAAGAAAAATAGAGGAGGTGGAAAGGAATCCAATGGAGGTTTTCAGCATATCTAGCTGTCCTATTGCCTTTTCATTTATGGTTCAATAACAGTCACAAAAGTTACATTACGTATATGTGACTAGCAAAGATGGCCGGGATACTCAACCCTTCAGCACTAATTTTGATAATAAAATAATTTGAATTTTATTTTTATATTTGAATACATGAGAAGAGTTTTCAACCTCCACATAATGTTTAGTTTCCAGACATCTTAAATTTTAACAAACTATTACCAATTTGGATATTGGTACTCTGGGACTTGAAAATTTTGAAACACCCCTACTTTAAAATATTTGGGTTACAATCATTGTTTACCTGGAAATGAAGTATCAAAGTCTCGAGCTGGGGACAGAGAGTGGGTAACATCTTCAGTCCATCTTTGCCTATAGCTCCACCTAAACCTATATTTATTGTCCTTAACGTTCTAACTGCAGGCCTCAAAACCTCAAAAGAAAGCAATGAAAATCCCCATCCAACACCAATTTCCTCCAATTGGCATGACTTTCCAAGTTCGTAGTACAACTCACTGTAATGACACGAGAAAGCATTGCACTTGTCTGCCTCATTCTTGCCTTCCTCTTGCACAAATTGTCTGCAATCTCTGGCTATGAAACACTTAAGACCCGGATTTGTACGGACTACATGAGCTACAGAACGGGCAGAAACCTGAAAATTTAAAACGCATCATTCATGTGTAAGACCTAGGTTACTTCCAGCCATAAGGTGGCTGCATTCCATCACCTTATAAGCTTCCTAAATTCCGAAGTTAATGACAAAGTCTCTATAACTGTTAAGAAAAACAGACTCGTGTCAAGTTAAATAAATATGCATCTTTTATAAAAGCACACACATCCCTACACCAAGACTTTTTCTCCACTAGCCTCTAAGATAGAGCCTCAATATCTGTTCAGCATTTAACCTTTAAACTGGTTCTTCTAAGGGGTAATTTGAGTTTGCACCCCATTTTAATAAACTTTGTTTTTGCACCCCAACCCCATATGAAAAGACAAAAATGCCCCTCAATCAGGAATATGTTGAAGGCCAACAGAATTGTTAATGGAAGGGCATTTTTGTCTTTTCATACGGGTTTGGGGGGTGCAAAAACAAAGTTTTAAAAAAACAGGGTACAAAGTCCAATTTGAACAATAAAATGGGGGTGCAAACTCAAGTTATCCCTTCTTCTAAACATAATCTGACATGTTTACCAAACAATTTGGAAATATGAAAACTTGCAACATATAGAAACCTTGGTGTTAGACACATCAAGCATCTCCAAGCAAGATCCTGAAAAGCTATATAGTGCATGGTCTCCGAGTTCAGTCCCACTTAAGCAAAGACTCTTCAACATAGTTGTTTGAGATATAAGCTCAGAGATACATGTCCCAGTAACACCTATAGGAAATAGATAATAGGTGTTAACACTTGAGAATAGTGTTAATATTGAGGCATAACTGCACAAGAAAATGTAATGAAGGGAAAGTCCCCTAGAAGTGTTCAGCTCCACTTAGAGGAGTAACTTGTCAGTCTGTCACTATATCATTGTATGTATATATTATCTTTTTCAAGGCATCGTCAACTAGAATATATAACTCAGGCAATGCAGATTATGCAGAAACAATGATAGGAACCGGGCAGATTAGTGCTAATAATAAAAATAATAATAAATTGTGCGGGTAGTATAAATATAAGGGAAGGGAGGAATAAGGGTTAGGCAGAAATTCGGTGGGAATTTGGGCTGGGAGAGCGGGACCTCTCGAGGAGTCCCAACCTTGTTTTCTTCTCTTTCCTTTCTTTCCTTTCTGCTTGTATGTGAGTTTACCGAAATCTGCCATTGTAGCTTGAGGATTCAGAGATCTTATCTGAATTCCTGCTCAATATACCTAAAATTCTCCTATTACTTCTCTGGATTTCCGTGTCCCTATCAAACAACCCAATAACTAAGCCTGAATATTAAAAGTTTAAGCACTTAAATCCCTAAGCCTTTACCGTCACCAAACAAAAGAGAAAATATCCAAACAGCAATACTAAGCCTGCCATTGGCAAACTTAACCACCAATTCATACCAATGATGTTAGAGAACCAAGTAGGAAATGATTCAATTAATTGGATTAACTTGACTTTGAGTTTGAAAGGACTTAATCACAAAACAGGAACTACTAAGCATGTGAGCTAACATGAATAGGGATCCTAACAAAAATTCATATTGTAATTTAAAGGATGTTAAAGAATCTACTGTATTGAAAAGGAACTAAAGTTTTACATCCCAAACAAATAATGAGCAGTGATAAATCTAAGGGGAGCTAAAAGATAACCTACATTTGCAGCCACCCATATGCAAGATTTGAAGTTTAGAGGCAACCGAATGAGAGAGGTCTTTAAATTTTACTTCTGGAGAGCCGTCAAATTCGGAAGCACCATAGCAAAGAGCCAAAACGGAATTCCTTCCAAAGTAAGTATCACAAACGAAGATTGAGTGCAGATTTATGCATTTAAGCAATAATATAGATATTCCATCATCAGTCAAAGATATACACCCTCGGAGGTTCACGTGACACAGTGACGGACAGAATTCCGTGAAAAATAAGAGATGACGATCTGAGGTAGAATGAAAAAAAGTTTGTAAACAAGTTGAAGACAGTTTCATGTATATATGTGTGGATACAGAAATGCAGGCAAATAGACAATATCATAAATACAAAGAGATAAATGAGATTGTTGCTAGGCCAATGAAAGGAGAGTTTGAAACATCCATTCTCATGACCAAATACATATATTAGTAATATTACCTGATATATCTGTTCGACCCTCCAATGTGAGGTTAGTTATATTTGACAGCTGCAGTCCAAGGTCATATGAGAATGAAATAGCATCCTTAGGAGTGATATTTCTATATCTTTGTGGTGTTACATCTGGGTGTGAGGATATTATATTAACTTTGGTTGGTATAATTGGGCTAATATCCACACTGAGGTCTACATCAGAGAGTAGACGACACCTTTGCACCAATTGATACAGCATTCCAGTAGGGAGTTTTAAATAATTAGTTGCCTTAAGTATCTTTAGTGATGGGAACGATCTGGAAAAGCATTCAATAACAGGTTTAAGAAGTGGCATTTGACAATTTGAGATATCAACCTCTTGCACTCCTTCAAAAGTCAAAATTGGAAATATTTGCCAGGAAACCTCGGTGTTGTCCCCAATATGATGTTTAAATGTAAGAAAATGCTGCTTAATTTTTTCCTTCACAATAGGATCCATGCTATTTGAAGGATGAAGCACAGACAAGAGGAGAATGGCAGGACTGATCTGAGGACAACCTGAAAGGTCCACTTTCTGCAGTATTTCAAGAATGATGAAGGTTACAAGAATTAGGAAATACTGTTGCGATATCAGAAAGGAAAATTTTCATTGCAATCCTATACTGAACTTTACAACCTGTGGCCGACCGAACATGGAGGCTAATGGGGGCTGCCGCCCCCAATTTTTTTTTTCCTAGGTATATTTACCCCGAAATTTTAATATATATGTTTTTAAAAAAGTGAAGTGAATAAAATATATAAACAATTTAATAAGAATGAAGCTTTACATCTGCCATCCAATTTATCGTAAATGTGGAAACTTAAAATTAAAACACCTCCATGTTACATCTGTAGATGTCAAAATTGGCAAAGATAATCTAGCATAATCTCTTTGAAGAACAGCCTTTTTGGACCAATTGCAGAAAGAAAGATCTCACAGCATTAGAGAATGGTCTTTTAGCAGGAAACCTCAGCAGTTGGATACTACGTATCTACGAACTTATCTTAAGGTGAAACCAATTTGCAAAAAATGGCATGGTATATGGAGTAACAAATTCATCCAGTTATTGAAGACCTTAGACATCTTTTTTAACTTCTTTTATAAAATTGTTCACAAGACATATACCTAACTTCTCACATACTAAAGTGTTTTCTGATAGCATATACACAAAAAAAAGACAGTTAAATAAGACCCTATAGAAGCTATGCATATGAATCAAAACCTGGAGGATATCAAACAGTCTCAACGAGTGTAATGGCACCTTGTCCCTCCAATACAACAATTTTAAATATAATAAAAGGCCATCAGATAACTTTAGGGATTATTTAGAAATGGATAACCTTAGTATATTTAGTCAATCGGATTCTATGATGACTAATGTCTTCATCGTCAAGATTGTTTGTTGAACTTGTGGATGGATATCTTGCTAAAGTAAGAATGCTGTTGATACCTCTATCAGCAAACATTGAAAAGAAGTTGCATCTTCTTTTCACTGAAACAAGTACCAAAGTATATTGAACCACAGAACATATGAATTTGTACTTGGTTTCTATAAGTAAAGCAACAGAATATAGTCATACCGGCAACAAATGATAAAGGCAATAGCCTGAAACGAATCTGTTACAAATCACAAAATGAGAATCACATTCCAAACATAGGTACAGTAATCTAGAGATGATCAACTCAAAGACACTCAATGACCCTTCACCCTCACCTTGCGGGGATGCCAACACGCACCAGACTGCCCTTTTTTATAGTCTGTTCAATTACAGTATTACACTAATGACTAATATTACGAGACCGAGAAACAGCATTCACCACTTCAGTACAATGAGTCCAAAAAGAAACATATATAAATAAACATCTAGACTGCCTTTTTTCATATTATGAACATTTCATTTCTAAAAAATCACTTATGCTGCACAAAGAGAGGAAAATATATATTGTAAATTTAAAAACAATTATGACGTCATGCCAGGCTACTAGGAGGAGAAGCCTAGAATATCACAGATAATTGTCAATGAAAAATGCATAGTTTCACCACAAGGCCAAATATAACTTTACTCACATTGACTTGTTTATTGTTATTATAATATATCTTCCTAGACCCGATTTAATCTCTGTTACTAGACCTAGTTTTTCTCCCTGGCTACTCCCGAATCCTGATTAAACCAAGCTTACTAGACCTAGTTTTTCACCCGCCTAGCGCCATTTACAGTGTTGATTATTTATAGCATGAAATTTTGATTTTATTAGAAATAACTCCTTATCATTTGTCAGAACATTTTGAATCAAGCTCCTCCTCTAGAAAAATGGAATGTCTTATGTGCAAGGTTCACTCTAATCTTGTGTGTGTGACAAGGCAGTGAGACACCCAAAAGTATTTGAGCACTGCAGGACGACATCCCTACCTCTTCCAAAATGTCAGTGTTATCAGTTATTGTAGTGCTTGAAGGCCCAAGCTCTCTGGTATTAGCAGCAATCCAAGCTAGAATAGCTCCACAAAGATGTTTTTCACTATGAAAAAGAGTGAGCAGTTATGGAAGACATGAGATATGATAGTGTCCATTACGGTCCATATTAATGCCGTATGCATGTGAAGTTCAACTGAACATTTATGGTTGACATTAATAAGATAATGTTTGTATGCATGTGCATTTGAAGACCAACTGAAAAAGAACTTCACAAACCTGTCTACTGTCAAATTAGGATTCTTTATGCATGAATATAACATTTCATAAGGAACATCGTGAAAAGAATCACAAGACATTGCCCACATCTGCAGAAAAGGGCATCACAACTAACATGGGGATTACAAGTTGACAAAAAGGACTCCATGATAAAATGTAGTTTACGAAAAGTATGAACTCACTTCTAATGGATGAGTACGATTTTAAGCACTTACAAAGTTGATTGAGAGATAGGCTGTACATATTTGTGATACAGAATCAATTGCTGCATGATATTGCACTTTAATCTATAAGTCACAAGCCGTAATGTGAACAGAAAAGAAGCATTATCGCCACCATGCTGTGCTCAATGCTTATCACTTTTAGTCTCTAGGAATCAAATACACATACCATTCTCTATGCCATATTTCCAAATGCTTATCACATTACTTAATTGAACTTGAGGTAGCAAAGTCCCCCGGTATGATGTCACATTCTGTAACCAATTTTGACACTCAGAGAGGAGATAATCCACTCCAAAAAACAGTGCAGCCTGATGTCACAGATGAAAAGAGTTAAAGTTTAGTGGAAAACTACTACCAAGTACCAATAAGTGTAACTCTTGAGAAAAACAATCTTCTACACCAGATAGAGCCCATCATAATATATGGTATTAGGTTGGGAAGGAGTTCATATGTTTAGATTATTTTCTCTACATGTCATCAAAGGTACTTTTGTGTATCTTTTCCATAAAAACGAACTCAATGCATGAGTAAGTGGTCACATTGATTCAAATATAGAACAAAAGTTGTACTCTCTTTATCAAGTTGAAACTTTCACATGTGGTCATGTGGAGAACATTTTTGAATATGGGTGGAAAGGTCCAATTGCTTAGCAACTACTCCTATTTCTTTAGGTGGTCAGGAAAATTTTCTGTCACCCACATTTTTAGATTGAAGAAACAAAACTGTTAAAATACAAAAGTGGGGCTAAACTTGCCTCATATAAAGGAATAAAACTTTCTGAAGTAATATCCACAGAACATCCACACACAGACCGTAATATATTCAATAACGGTTCTATGTTCCAATTAATGGATATACTATCGGAGCATGATTCACTGCAACAGAAATAATTGACGTCATTGACAGATTTTGCATTGACATGGTGCACATGTTTTGCAGATCAGGTTTTGATATTTTTAAGTGAAAAAGTCCAATTTAACATGTTCGGAAAATAACATTAAAAGAATAAAAGTGTGGACTATATAACACTTTGTGCTTATTTAACAACTGAATGGTTAAAGCACCAAGTTTCAATCCATAGTCACAATATCAAATCACAGCTTGACCAGAGGCAAGGTGGTTTTGGCCTTTTGTAATGTGAAAATGGAATGGCCTAAAAGTTTTTAAGGTCATCTTGTTTGAGGGTGAGCTTCATAAGGTGCTTAATTTTAGGTTTCACTCCTATCTGAACCCTTTTTTATTTGGTACATCAAACGCCTGACTTAAGAGCCTAGTTCCTCAACTCACCACCATCACCATCAGTGCCTTAATCCCAACTATGTAAGGTCAGTGACACAGAAACTCAGAAAGTATAGTCGCTATCAATTGATTTCATAAAACTAGTTAACACTCAAAATTCATGAGGAAAATCTTAGGGAACAAGTTTTATGCTGAATGTCCTTACCACAATCAGTTTTGTCCTACTTGAATGGATAATATCATAACATGGTGAACAGTGGAGAAGGTTGCTATAGCCATGTCTTGTTACAAGATCAGTCAATATGGACATCATGGACCATGACTGCAACCTAGTTCACCAACTACCTAGCCTAATGTTATGATTCCCTCTTTTTATATGCTTCTTCGGCTCCGTTACCATTATAATACGGAGTACATCCCAAAAAATTAGCTATCTTGAAATTGCAAATAATGTTTTTATTTTATAACCTATATATATAGGTTTTGGTTCAAATAAGAACACGATCTTAGGAAAGAAATGAGAATGAATCTGGACCGTTAGATTTGTTTTAAGTGAAATTCAATGTGCATTAGATGAAACTGTAATGTGCATTAGCTGAAATTGAAATGTGCAGCACAAAGGGTACGATACAATGACATTATGTGAACCTGAATTGTGCATTAGGTGAAATTGAAATGTGCACTATGTGAAACTGAAATGTGCACAACAAAAGGTACAATGTGCTGTTATTTTTGTACCTTTTATTCCGCACATTTCAGTTTCAACTAATGCATACTTGAGTTTAAATTTTTATTTTGCACATTTCAGTATTACCTAATGCACATTTCAGTTTCATCAAATGCACAATTCAGTTCCACATAATACAATCCAACGGTCCAGCTTCATTCTCATTTCTCTCCTGGGAGTCCGTTCTTACCGGAACCGCTCACTATATATATATATGTGTGTGTGTGTGTGTGTGTGTGTGTTTTGGTTCAAATAAGAACATGATCTTACGAGAGAAATGAGAATGAATCTGGACCGTTAGATTTGCTACTGTAATGTGCATTAAGTGAAATTGAAATGTGCAGCACAAAGGGACGATACAGTGACATTAATGCATTATGTGAATTTGAAATGTGCGTTAGATGAAATTGAATGTGCATTAGGTGAAACTGAAATGTGCAGAATAAAAGGTACGATGTGATGCTGTTTTTGTACCTTTTCTGCACATTTCAGTTTCACCTAATGCACAATTGAGTTTAAATTTTTATTCCGCACATTTCAATATAATCTAATACACATTTCAGTTTCACCAAATGCACAATTCAGTTCCACATGATATAATCCAACGGTCCAGATTCATTCTCATTTCTCTCCTAGGAGTCCGTTCTTACCGGAACCGCTCCCTATATATATAGGCCTCTCTCTCTCTCTCTCTATATATATATATATATATATATAGGGGAGTTCAAATAAAAAGGAGTATTAACGTGTAAAATGAGAATTAATCTGAGTCGTCCAAATTTACGATATGATGCACAATTGTCCTTATATAAGCTTTATTTTATTAATTAGTTTCTAATTTGATGGTATGAATCATCATAAACGAACCGGCTGAGCCAATATATATTAAGTATGATGTAATGCATTCTAAAATCTGAAGAGTTTTCAGAAGCCATTGGGGACTTGATACAAAACATGATACCTGAAGTTACCGCTAAATAGACTTCGAAAATATGAAGAGTTTTCAGTGAGCCTGAACATACATAAAAGAGAATATATCACCATTATATTGGGGCCATAGTTTGTTTTCAGAATGGAACCAAAATTTACAGAGTTAACGCCATGACAAAAAAGATGTGGAAAAAGAAAATGCCTTTGACGGTTTGCTTTTATTTTGACATTTTGGTGCCTGAGAATAGAAGTCATGTCCCAATCGATGATTGCATCCATCGATATGAATATCTCTTGGCCACCTCCCTCCGGATTTATCCCTCCCGGACCGGTGCAGCTGAGAAGTACGAACTCGCCGTCGGCGCATTCGACGTCCGGCGTCATGAAGGAAACGAATTCGGTTAACTCTGTGCCGGAAATGGTGACATCACAGTGAAAGGTGAAAGAAGAAAGAGGAAAGCTGAAGCTCTGTTAGTTTGTGAAGATGACAAACTTCCAGCGGCGGTTGGGTTCAAATTCCTTCTTCCCCACTAAAGGGAAGGGAAGTCCGTTTATTTAGGAGGGCGTGTTCTGATACGGGTCAAGATTCGGACATGTCATTAACTATGTTCCTATTTCTTTTTTATTGACTTTTCTTAATGACTTTTTAAAAATGTTTCACTTTTCCTTGAGAAAACGAATAAAGTCTTTTTTTTACTGAAAAAAACGAATAAAGTTTTTTTTTTGAAAGGAAAAAAACGAATAAAGTTTTTTTTTTGAAAGGAAAAAAACGAATAAAGTTATTCATCTCTTTTCCACGAAAATATTCTTACAATTTTCATTGCTTTCATATTTATGCCAGTCACTTCTTTGGGAAGGACAAGTCACTTGAGTACTTAACATGTATTTCTAGCTATCAAAAGATTTAATGTAAAAAAAATGAAAAATGGTCAAATAGACCCCTGAACTAACTTAAAAAGTGTAAATCACTCAATATATAGGAGTGTCTGTCCGTCCTTCGTCATTTGGAGCGGTTCCTGGTGGAATTTTTTGATGAATTTTTTTAGCATCTTCTTCATTAAGTCTAGTTTACCCATACCAAATTTTAGATAAAAATTCAACCTAGAAGACAGACAAATGATTTTCAGAAATGTATTGCGTTGTTTAACTACGCAGTTATCTTCAAAAATTCATTTGACTACCTTCTCGATTGGATTTTTAGCTGAAATTTGGTATGCGTAAACTAGACTTAATGAAAAAGATGCTAAAAAAATTTCATCAAAAAATTCCACCGAGAACCACCCCAAATGACGACAGACGACAAAGTCTCCTATATTAAGTTAGTTCGAGAGCGTATTTGATCCTTTTCCTGATGCATCATTTTTTGCATATTTTATCAGTTTAAATGTTTTTAATTCCTGCAATTATAATATTTTTTGTTTAAGTCTTTACAAAAATTATACTTTTGCTATTCATCTCTATAATTTATGTTAATTTTCATTTCAGTTTCTCATGGTTACATCAAAATAAAAATGATCAATAGACGTCCTTTCATTCTTTCTCATATCATTTTAAAAATACGTAATTTTACAGTTTAGAGTGTTCTTAATTCTTATAATAGACCTAAATAGGATTTAAACAAGAGCTTGGAAGATAAATAAGACTTGAATCTTTTTAAACCCTAAATAGGACTCAGAATCAATGTGACGAGATTGCCCCTTAGTAACCTTACGGACAGCCCTGCTTTAACTTTGCGGAGCAATTTTGCTGCCAATACAGGCAGCCATGTTTTAACTTCGCCGGCAGCCATTAAATCCGGGAGACGGTTGGCGATCGGGCTTCTCAAGAGACCAATTTTTGTGCCGGCATCAGATTATCGTCAGAGTGGTCTTCGGCACGAGTAGTCTGCGGCGAGAATCATCTTCTTCCTCTTCTTCTTCCCCGTTCTCTTCTTCTTCTTCCTCCTGTTTTACTTCTTCTTCCCCGTTTCCTCCCTTTGTCGAGTATGTGCGGCGATGAATGTTCGTTGCTTTGTTCCTGCTACTTTTTGTTTTTGTTTTACGTTTTGTTTTTGTTTAACTTTTCCTTTGACTTCTCAATTTATTACTTACGAAGTAATATTTTTTCTTTTCTAAATCAAAATTGATATTATCTTTAATTTAGCATTCTCATAATTATTTTATAACACCAAAAATTTTAATCTACGGTGAGTTAATACTAGGACAATATTGCCACATTGTGTAATATAATTGTGACATTGTATCATTGTGTTTGTTGATAATATTATAGTATTGCAACATTGTAGCAATTCAATGTCAATATTGACGTCAAAACATGTTAAAATGGTGAAATAATGACACTATGTATGTCACTATACTTTAAATATTATCAAAATAAAGTGAAAATCATCAGAATGTCTTAACAATGTCAATGTCTTAACAATGTCAATGTTGTAACAATGTCAATAAAAAACAATGTCAATGATAATGTCATAAGAATGTCAATGACAATGTCATAAGAATGACAATAAAAAACAATGTCAATTACAATGTCATAAGAATGTTAATGACAATGTCATAAGAATGCCAATGACAATTGATGGAGTATATGGCCCGAGAACCCCCGGCCCACAGACTTCCACTACTCCAATAAAGGCCCAATAGGCCCAGGGAGCACAACAGGCCCAAATCACGGCGCCCAAGGTACCAAGCAGCCCACTACGCGCACCGGGGGGAGCCTTCGGTCCCCTGGCCGAAGGTTCTAACTCCCAAAGAAGGGCCAAGACAGGAAAACAAAGTTACTGGAAAGAACGGCGAAAATCAGTAGCCCTCGGCAACTGGAGCCCTCGGCACTAGGGGGGTTCCCTGTACTCAGAGCCCTCGGCTAGTCATCTACAGCCGAGGGTGCCTTTTCCGACATAATATCCGCCCCACATGCGTATGGATCACCGTACCAAGTACGACGTCCCATCCAACAGCCGCATTAAATGCGGCCACCTGCGGTTGCCAGCGCCAACCAGTTGAGGTGACCTCTCGGCCAATGGGCGCTTGACACGTGTCCCTGTCCGGCATTTATTGCTACTATAAATAGCACCCCATTTCCCCGTTGTAAACCATGCTAAAAACGCTGAACACTTTCTAATATACTTCTCTCTCTATACTCATTTGCTCTGACTTCTCTCTTGTTATTCCCCGCAATAACCCCTAGGATAGACTACCCCCCGAGTACACTATCCATCATTTGGTGCTCTCGTTGAGAGGTCGAACAATCAAGTAAGAAACACTCCCCCTCGGCCAAACACAAAACACCCATCTAAAATGGTGAGAACAACTCGTGCCAACTCCAAGAATGTAGAGGACAGGAACCTGGTCCTCGGCGAGGTCGACGTCCCCGAAGCCTCCAACAGGGCTCCCGGGGGCGGCGTCATCGCCGGGTTGGACCAGACGGCTGTCGACCTACGCCAGCAGATTTAACAAAACGCCCCCGATGCCCGCCTCGGCATCAGGGACAAGAAAAAGGACCGGAGCGAGAATCAAATTAGCCCTCCGGTCATCACAATCGACGTGCAATCGACGCTCTCCGCCTTCATCCAGACGCTCACCCAGAACCCGGGTGCCTTCGGCACTTTGGTTCCCCATCAACCTCAGGTCGGGGAGAATATTATGCCTCCCTCTCATCCACGACCCCTCGGTAACCCGGTCCTCCGGATGGGGAACTCCGAAGGGGTCGTGGCCCAAGATACGGCCTCCCAGGAAGTCCAGTCCCGGGAATGCCACAACGTGAACAAAGAACTGCCCCGGACCTCCGCCCTCGAGAGGCTCGGAAGGGCGCAAGACCGCCGAGGGGTCCAAGACTGCCTCGGGGGGAAGGCGTTCCAGAGGCCTCAGGAAAGTGGTGGGTCCGTGTCCAGGGCCAATGAAAGGCGTCCCCCCTCAGGACAAAGGCAAGGCACCTCTCCATGCCGACGACGCACGCCACCAAATCAGCCAGGCCTACTCGGCCCGGGTCCATTCGCAGGGGGCGAAGGCCCTCCCGAAGGACCCCCGGGACGAAATCATTGCGGCCCTCCAGCGCCGGCTTGACGAGATGGAGGCCACCAAAGCCCACGCCACCACTTCTGCCCCTCATACGGACCTCAAGTATGAGGCGATGATGGCCAAGATGGAAGAAATGCAGAAGAAGATAGCCGAGGGCTCCGGGGAACCCACCATACAGCTCCGGACTCGGACGCCATTTACCCCAAGGGTGTTGGCGGCCCGAATCCCGAAAAAATACTGAGGGCAGCTCATCAAGCCCTACGACGGAAAGACTGATCCCCAAAAACACTACAGCAGGTATCAAAATAGCATGATGATGGTGGGGGCATCGGATGAATATTTGTGTCGCTGGTTCCTCTCCACCTTAGAGGGGCCAGCTTACGAATGGTTCAATCGATTGCCCGAGGGCTGCATTGACTCATGGCAAGAACTCGCCCAGCGATTCTTGACGCAATTTGCGGGAAGGCGCCGCACAAGAAAACACTTCTCCCACTTGCTAACGGTGAGACAGAGGAAGGAGGAGACCCTTCGGGACTTCCTGGAGCGCTGGAGAATGGAGGCTGATAAAGTTGATGGCGCTGACGACAGGAATACCCCATGGCCGGCTTCACTTTCCTTATGCGATATCATTGTAGCGAAGCTCTACCCAAATTCCTAGAGAGAGAAACAACCGCCTTCGATCTAACTCCCGTTACAAGGTCAGTTCCTCACTTGTCCTCCACCCTTGTCACCTAGCTGTACTTAGCGGCCTTAGGACTTACACTTAGGAATCTTAGCTTAGAGCACTTAGCATACTTGAGCCCTCGAACTAGCACAGATGATGTCTTTGCAAAGTGATTCTCAAGACATCTCGGGGGCGCCCTCGATGGAGGAGGAAATCATCTCGGACGTGGAGTCCACAAGCGAACAGCCCTCATCGGGACAAGATGCTGTCGTCGCGATGGAGTTGCAGAAAGCCCTCGTTGCTGAGGCGGAAGCCGAGGGCTTCGAACAAGAGTGTGAAGACGAAGAGCTGGCCCTCGCCTGGCAAGTAGCTGAGGAAGAGGCGCAGAAAGAGGGCGCGAGGGTCACCGTTGCTGTTCTCCCCCCTCGGAGCACTGGTGAGGCCAGCTCCTCTCAGCCATTGAACGCGGTTCCCATCCGGGTGGCCCCCGGGAAAAAGAAGGCGAAGGTTGCTGCTCCCAAGAAGAAGGGCAGCGTCGCAGACCAAGGGAAGCCCCTCGATATGCCTGAGGGGTATTCCTACTTGAATACCGCCGCCCTAGAGATAAAGTCGAAAGCTGACAGGGAAGATCTCTATGTCACCCAACTACATGTGGGCCCCTCGGCCGTTGTGGTGGCACCGGGTCCTGATGACGTCCTCTTCGGGCTCCCGAGGGCTGTATTATGGTGCACGTCTTGTCCGTCTCGATGGGGCTCCGGTTCCCACTACACCCCTTCCTTCGGGAATACCTCCAGTTCGTAGGTTTGGTCCCCTGCCAACTGACCCCGAACAGCCACTCCTACATCGCGGGCTTCCTCCATCTCTGCAAATCCGGGGGGTAACGCCTAGCCTGGACCTGTT